GTCCACATTATATTTACACTTTTATTTGATATTCCTCTATTTTTGGACGTATCTTACCTTCGCTTTCTAGTCTTGTATTATTCATACTTTCGATCATATCTGTTACTGTGTGGGTTCCGATGTCAGATTTGGAAGTTTTCATATCTGGAAAATATAGAAAGAAATTACAAAATACAACTTGTATTTTACTTTTTTAGAGACAAGTTATATTAATATTGTGAAACCTAAATGCCAATATATACTCACCGTCAATAGAAACGCAACACCCTAATTTAAGGGGTGAAAATTATGTACGGGATATAACTATGTACCAAAAAGTTTAGGACATCTTTTACTTTGCCAAATCAGTTATTTAACGGTTGAATGATTTTCATTCCATTACCGGAAGTTGATTTTTAGCCCCCTGAACAGAAATCAAAAATTAGCATTTTTAATCAAATTATTGACAATATTTTGGGTTTTCAAGGTTTTGTACCTGTTAATCATAAGTTTTGTACTAAAAGTCCGGAAAAATATCCTTCTTTCTTTTCCAGACGTGATGCCTGTATTTCCTCAAAGTAACTGAAAGCACGCATTTTCATTGCTAATGTTGGAAATTCTCAAAATAAAGAAAAGCGAGAGATACAGATGCAAATATACACTGCATAACGACTTTTCGGGCCCATGTGCTTCAAAAGCATGAATGACAGTTCCTTGACCGGAAGTTCAAGGGTTACTACACTACGCCAAGTTAGAGAAAATTCGAGGTCAGTATCTGAAAAACAGGCATTTAAAAATGCACAAGCATATTTATTTCGCTCAGGTTAAGACATTGATAAACCTACTGTAAAGTAGAATTCGGGCTGTATTTGTTGTACCTGGCGGACTTGGACGTTTTAATTGAATGGTCGGAGGAGAGGATGTTTTAGAGTTATGTGTTACTTTATAAGGTTTAAAGATGAGATTAAAAATCAATACAGAATTGAAAAAAGTAAATTTACAAAACAATACTTCATTTGATACTTCATTTTAACTTTAATTTTATCTTTAGACCTTAGAAAGTAACACATAACTTTTAAAACATCCCCCCTTCCGACCCTTCAATTAAAACGTCCCAGTCCGCCAAGTACAACAAACACAGCCCAAATTCTATCAAATTTTCACCCCTTAAATTAGGGTGTTGCGTTTCTATTGACGGTGAGTATATATAATTTAAGGATGGTAAAATGTATAAAAATAAAAATGTAATAAAATATTGATACATATTTTTATAATCTCAATTGCTTAAACTTGCTAAACTTGTAATTTGTCTCAATCTTGTAACTTTACAAGAGGTAGAGCCACATTGGGCCTTATTTGGCCCTGAGAATTTCTATAAATTCAAAACAGCTCAGTTTAAGTTGCAAATGCAGTATTTATCACTTGGACTGTTGGTGACCACGTATCTATTAATTGTGACATAATTGCACATCTAGTCAATGCATTATGACGTCATCAAATGTTTCATTTTTCCCATATCCTGTTAATTCCTTTGAAAATGACCTAAAGTTGAAGCGTTTTTTCCATATTTCATATAGAGCACAACCTCTGATCCAAAATATGCCAATACATAATGAAAGGCCTATTTCTGAAGATCAAAAAACATATTTTATTTTTTGGATCGTGGGCTGTACTCATATTTTAATTCTTTGCTGAAGGTAGTCAAATACGCATATTTTCTGCAAATTTCAAGAACATTGCAATTTCACAAGGGCTGTTTTCAAATATTTGGATTCTCAAAACGAAATTTCATTATAGAACATGAAAGCACCAAATGTCTACTTTGTTTTGATATATGAAAATGGAAAGAGGGTGATAGTTAATTAATTGATATAAGTACAGGGCCATTTTATGCATAAGATGGCTCTTGCTCTTTTTAAAGACATATCCCAATAGGCAAAGGCACGAAAATCAAAATAGGTATATCAACAAGGGCACTTAAAACATCAATCAATGAAGTGTTATTCAAATAAAATGCAAGAATTTTATTATTATTTTTTTTTTTTTTGGTTCTCATTTCCCCAATTTTTCTCCATTATCTTCCCTGTTTGAACGTTGGAAATGTTTTCGGTTAAGGTCAAGATCTAGTAAATGAAATGTGCCTACAGATTTATCAAACTTGAGAAATAAATTCCTTTATTAATGCTTTAAAACTTTAGCTTGGTCAAATAAGGTGTTTCGGGGCATAACTTGTGCGTAAACAAGATGAAAAACTGTATTTTAAACTGTCATTTTCAATGAAAAATTAAGAAAACTAGTCATGAATAAGGGAGTTTTTTTATGATTCGGCAAAGGAAATGTATCCATATTGCCTACAGTCTCTCAGAAAACGGTAATTAGTATGTTCATGGCCTCTTCTTTAAATCAATATCAAATTTAATATAGGTATCCGGTTTACTTTTCATATGATTTCAAATTGAATGACATGAAAATACCTCATTTTCTTCATAATTCTGCTAAAGCCGTAAAGTACGGGAAAAAGAAAGTTGAAATTGATTATGACGTCATAATGGATCTAGCACCAAAAAATCAGCCTCAAGTTATTTACTAGATCTTGACCTTAATTGCATTTCATATTTGTATCCTCGGTACTTTCGTCCACAAGTGGTTTATTAATTGTTCCTTAAACTGAGGTGATCCCAAGTGTTAACAGGGACATTGTGTAAATGTGCACCATGGAGGTTACTTTTCATGAAGTGCAAGAAAATGTGAGCTCGCAAATACGTGAGATGTCAAGAATCACTTATTTTAAACTTATGTTCGAAATGCACTTTAAACACACTTTTTATTTTGTCTTCTAGTTTTTTCGAACTTTCGCCATAAATTTTGAACCAAAGGAGATAGAGGCCTTTTATTTGTAATGCACACTCCAGTTATTAAGATCTTTCCAATGACACCAATGTTAATGACCTTGTTGCCTTGACTGTGACATATATGCTAAAATTAGCTTTTTCAAACTTTGTTGCCACCGGGCGTATAATGTTTCACAATTACATCTTGTTTTGCTAAAAGGTTTTGTTTATTTACAATTCAGATTGAATTGTAACATCACATATTCCAGGGAAATTAAACATATGGATATAACAAACAGTATTCAAGATTAAAGGTCCATAAAACAATACAAAATAGGAGCAGAGCAAACACGGACTTCCAAAACGTCACTGGTGGGAACAGATGCCTTGGTGGAGTGAGGGAAAGTATTTTACTAGATTAAAGAATAAATGTCAATTTCAGGCTTTCAAATTTTTGAAATACATATAGTATATAAGATAATGTAGATCAAATATTATCACACACTCGTATGCTTCGCTCTCTCAGTGGCTGGGACATCAATCTATGTTACATGCTTGATTTTTTATTAATCTTTTGGTCACTATTTTTGTTACTGTTTGATTGTTTTTCTATTTTTTCTTTATCTTTGCAGCTCTCCACCGGCAAGTGGTGGCGTCCCCATATGAGTGAAAAATTTTCGAGAGGGACATTAAAAATTATACAATCAATTGATCAATCATAACTTATGGCTTAGCTTCATCAATAAAACATATGGAGATAACGAACTTTTACGGGTAGTAATCCTAAAAATTGCGATCAAACGAAAGATCTCTTTACTTTGCAAAGAAATTTATTATAACATTATGGTTCTTAATAATCATTTTTTTTCAAACATTGATTGGAACATGCTCTTTTATGTACCGTAAACAAAGATTTACTTGCTTGTGAGCATTACCACATTCGAAATATTCTTCAATTTGATCGGGAGGTCGTGAGTTCGTATCTCGGCCGCGACTGACCTAGTTGTTAAAATGGGTAGCAACTGTTCCTTTGCCATGCGCTCGGCACTTTGAAGTAAAAGTTGCGGGTCCTTCGGATGAGAAATTAAAACCGAGGCCCCTTGTCAGCGGCAGGCGTTGGCACGGTAATGATCCCTCACTGCTCAATGGCCCTGAGTGCCGAGTAAAGGTCAAAATGTGAAGCCCTTCACCGGCATACGGTGACATCTCCATATGAGTGAAAAATTCTCGAGAGGGACGTTAAACAATATACAATCAATCAATCAATCAATCTTCAATCTGAAATTATAAAGCTATGCTATTTTACATGAATGTGTTTCTTTAATCAAGAATTTACCATTAAGAATCATTCCTGATCATTCTAACATTCTAAGTGGATTCTTAATAAAAAAGGCTTTTAGTTTTTAGTTTTTAGTTAAAACTAAAAGCCTTTTTTTTATTAAGAATCCACTTAGAATGTTAGAATGATCAGGAATAATATATATACCCTATATATACCCTAATATATTTGCTGTTCGCATTCAATGCGTTAAAATTGTTTATTCATAAAAACACAAAAAAAGGACCCAGAGTGCATTTCAACTTTGTATTGCATCTATATGACTGTTAAAATAGAGTTTTATTACGTATTATAAGTTTACTGCTACAGAGTTAATTGTGAAAATTTAGGAATTTGAAGGTTTTATACTATTGTGTATTTTTGAACATTATAAGTATTACCTGAGACAGAAGTGTCAAATAGAGACCTAGTGAATCCAATTTCACATCCAGTGGAAAAATTGCACAAATCTTTCGTGCAGGCACAATTTCTCTGGCATTCATCCCCATAGGTTGGATAAGGACATTTAACAGTACAATTCAATCCAACAAATCCTGTTTTACATGCTACGAAAAAAACAGTTATTTAAAATAGTAATTTAAAATAGTTATCTTCACAAAACTGATTAAAATGTTTTATTACAAAACTGTTACATGTGTTATCAAATCGCAGTTATTATGTCTCATTCTCAACAATGGTGATAATATACTTTTTTACAAAAACTTTAACGTACGTATACACTGTTGGATTGTAGCATTCGAAATGTATCTAAAACAGCATTTGGAAAGCCTAAATTAAAAATAAAATCAGTTAAATCGTTTCAATTGGAAAATGTAATGAAAAAACTCAGCTAGATCAAAATATAAACTTACCCCGGACATTGCTTTGAATCTATTTTCAACAAAATTAAATTAAACAAAAGGTAAAATAGATGTATGAAAGTCATATTCTTTGGAAGAAGTGGGGTCATCGCCTTTTCACTCATTTTAAGCTGTGTGATGTATTGGACATTTTCAGTTTCCTTTTAGTAAGGAAGTATTCTAAAATACAGGCAAATGATTTGTGTTGTCATGGAGAAAATATGATATAATAGTATAAAATGTATATGTCTGTACTCTTGGATATTCCTGTCCTTGGGATCATGAAACGGATTAAGATCTAGATCAAAATTTCAATCGATTTTTGGTTATCTTAATTACTAAATCAATCTCTAAATTTTCAGACCTTGAACAAGATGTCTGTCAATTGACAATATACATGTACGATTGTTTTCAAGCGAATTTACAATTACAACATCAATGTAATGACCAGCTCTTACCTTATTTATGTGTTTACCTGTTCCCGTTATGGTGAAAATTATATCGGCCAGATGAGACACACTGAGACAGAGTTTTATAACCGTACCTCGACAAGAAATGAGAGAACCAAAATATATATAGCCGTAAGTGAGCACAAAAGAAAAAGTGCCGATTGAAAGTAAAAAAGCAAAGTTTACAGTTTTTTCTCTTCTACAAATTCCAAAAGGATTCTACAAGAAAAAGAAACGAAAAGAAAACTTATTTACAAACAGATATAAACCTGTATTTTATGTAACATAATTATATTTCGTTAAAGAAATATATTTTCACATAACTTATATAAATGTACTATTTGAATAAAAACAAATAAAATACGGTATCAAATTACTTATGTTATATCATGACGTCATAATTAACTTTGCTAAAACGTATATGTATATATTTTGATGAAAGTATCAATATCGATCTCAACACATATTTAACTTCAACTGCAACAGGCCAGGTTTCTACTTTCACATTTAGGGTAAAAGAAGAACATGCTTATATACTAAATATATATCTGTGTTTTTAACAATTTTTGACCGAAAGTGATTCATTTTATTTATTCCTAATTATTTTGGAAGGTTTTACCTTAACTTAGACTTGATCTTTTATTGATTCCCATGATATAATTAAAATAAAAAGAAAAAAAAAAAACTATTAATATTTTATTTGACCTCTATCCGCTTTATTTTTATAAGAAGGAATTAGAAGGTCAGGTTTTATTTTGCAATATTTGATAGAATATTGTTCCCAGAGTATATCCATATCCGTCATAGGCGTGATGTTCATATACAATAAATCCAAACGAAGAGCAGTCCGTTTTATTCACTACACTAACTCCGCTGGGAACCAATATAATCATTATACTCATTTTGGTAAAGAACTCTTGATGTTTTGTTTCCTTTAACTGTGTATGTAACCGAAGTATGAAAAGAAGCTAGCACTCGAATTTGTGTTAGTTAACGATAAATATTCCGAGGCACAATAAAAATGTTATCAAATTCATCCACTGGCGGAACCATGTCCGTAAGCATATTGCATCTTCCATAGTCTCTGATCATATTACATTTGTTTCCAGCAAAAACAGCTATCGGATTTGAAGCAATGCTGCATTGATCACTGTTCCCGACAAATCAGCTAGATGTCCGATTTTAAATGTTTGATACTTGCTAAGAATAATAGTAAATGTGTCACCATCACCGTAATTCTTTCCTTGTAACGCTATAACAGTTTTCCGATCTATTGCAAAACGTATACTTATGAGTGTATTATCCATTGTTGACGCAATTGTAAAATGGCTTCCGGTGTCAAAATGAGATCTAGCTGGTGTTGCTGTGGACAAAATGTAATATGTTGAAAGCTTGTTGACAGGAAAAACATTGGTACCTCTGAAGTTCTCTCCAAACTTAACATACTTGATACAGAAGTAAACATTGAGGTTTGAACGAGAAGAGCTTCAGATTCAATGGTAAAATATTCCGGAACAATGGAATAGTGAACATTTATTTTCTTCAAGTTTACGTTTCCACTTTGTCTAGTAGATGTGGATATTAAATCCGAACTTTGACCATCCGCAAGTTCAACAGTTATATTAAAATCGCTTTCGGATGACACAAGTATTGTTCTATTTTCTTTAGATGCTATGGGATGACTTTGGATAAAGCTGATAAGAAAACTGTGGCCTCTGCTCCCTGAAATATGTTATTTCTGTTATCGTTATTATTAATTATTATAGCAATGTGAGAATTTGCATTAGTAATAGGAGTTGTATCTATGTATGTTAGAAAATTCTTAAAAATAAAAATATCAAATCCCTATGCATCGAAAATGTCCTGCGAATTTGATATATAATTTTCACAACTGTCCTACTTTTGTTTATTATTCCTCAACTTATCTATGAACCAGAATTGTTTAGTAATTATGTCTTATCAAAATATATAAGACATAACATTCCTTTAAAAGAAACAATCGTTTTTCTACAGAAGTAAGGTAATAAAACATAGTAAAAAGCAGTATACCAAGTTAAATCATATATTTGTTTTTAACTGTGAAAAATAAATGTGTTGAAACCTTCTAAATTATATTAATATATAGGTCATCAAGCTAGATAAAGCCTACAATTATTTATGTTGATTCATTTATTATAAATATATTATAAAATATAACATAAATGCTTAAGATATCTTTACAAAAGCCTAATTAGATATTACCGCTAATTTGACTCAGTTGAAGGTAGGATAAGGTTATTATTGTGCAAGTGGCACTGATGAATATGCTGAAGACAAGTACCAGGAACAGTCTTTTTAGACATTTGTTATTTTCATTTATCTGTTTTCCAGTTACCTCTCTCTTTTCCCAATTCCTTGATGTTGCTGAAGGCATTCCTTTCTACAAAATAATAAATGCTTTTTTATTGAACACGTAACATTCTTTCATTTACATTGAAGAGACTTTGTGTCTGTATTGATTGATTGATTGTATGTTGTTTTACGTCCCATATATTTTTTTACTCAAAAAAAAAGACGATTTCATATAACGATGAAGGACTTCAAATTTTTGACCTTACTCGGCACTTAGGACCATTGAGCAGTGAGGGATGTTTATCGTGCCAACCTCTACCGTGATACATGGCTTCAGTTTTTAAGGTCTCATCTGAAGGATCGCCATTTTCAGTTCGAAGGGCCAAGGGCAGGGCGAAGGATTTTTTTTTTATCAATTTAGGTCAATTCCGACCGAGATTTGAACTCACTACCTCCCTATCACGAAGCGAGAGCTCTACTGACTGAGCTACTGTGAACATCGTGCGTCTGAATTGATGATGTATTTAATAATAAAAATTGAAGCGAATAAATTACATGGATCATTTTTACAATGCAATTGTCATTTTTTTTATATCAACCTTGATGTCACATGAAAGCTATAGAGAAATATGTAGATGATGTACGGATATCTTTTAAAGTCTTTTAAATTTTGCAATAATTTTGCAAATTTTTGGTCGATGAAATGAATTTGTTACAGTATGTCGTTGACTGAGGTTTTTAGTACAAATTGTAAGGTTCTTATATATTCAAACGGAACTGAAATTTATATATATCGTTTAACAGAACATGACAAGGAACCAACGATGGGAGTGACAGATGGACATGGGATACACCTTCATCCGTTGCATTCTGTCCCACTGTTTTCAGACATCCATGTTAGCCCTTCCAGTCATCCTTTTTGCTCAAAAGGACTTATGAGAATAAATACTGTTCGTTATCTTCATGTATAAAAAAGCCCAGAACAATAGGCCATAACAGTTGACTTGATAAACATAAAAAACTCTATTTGTTGGACGTGTTAAAAAAAATCGTCATGAAAGTTTTAAAAAAATGGTTTTGTTTTTGTTTATTTGATGTTTAACGTCACATTCGAGCTTTTTTACCAAAATGGAGACGTCATCATTACTCATGGAAGGCTGAAAGTTAATATCTATACTAAGCACTGAGGGTTATTAACCAGTGGGGGATCTTTTTCCTGCAAACACCTAATGCTTGTTTTATACGATCCCATCAAATGACTGGTATCCACGTATCGCAGGGAAAAACACGACGTAAGAATCAGTTCCTTATTCCACAACTCAAGAGGAGGCACTCCAACCGCTTTACCTTGCGGGCGAACTCGATGAAACAGTGACATTTTTTTTGTAATGATATAAGTAAAGATATATAGAATTCAATTGAAATTCAATTTGTTTACTAAGTCATTTGGTATGTGATCTTATCTTTCTGAGTAGAATTCTTTTATCATTATTTATTTTGGCGTGTTAAATGCACTCACGACATTTAGAAAGCTAAATATTGTATGGATCAGGGGAAACAATCATTTGAAGTTTACGTTTTGTAAATAAAAAAAATGGTCAGGTATGCAATCAAAAAAAAATACCAGTTCAGCATATGAGTTGTTGTCACCCGCTTCTTTTGACAGATCTGTGTATTCATTTTGAATATCCACCTATGTATAAAACATACTAAAATACAACATGCACACTATCATAAAAAAAGCTATTTGAACAAAAAAGAAACTTTTAAAAATAGGAACACATAGTTGGAAAATTATCAAAATATATTATTCAGTTTTAACATATAAATTTTTAGATGGATATGATTCATTTGAACCCAATGGATTATTTTTAATTCTTTTAATTGTTAATTTTACAATCATTCTTCAAAATTCACAGACATGACTTGATTTTGAAAAGTGGTCTTGTAACTTTTTTACTGGTGTCTGATCCTCATCCCTTAGGTTCAGCAGGCCAATCAAAAGCTGGGATGCTCGATTTTTTAAAATTAATTTTTCCCTTAAACATACCATGGGGCACTTTTTTAAGGCAAAAGGGAAATAGAGAGGCCATAAACATATGTACCACAGTCTACAGTTTTAATTGTGCAAAAGGTATCATATCTGATCTATAAAACAGACAATGAATAATAGAATTGAATATGAAATGTATATATGATATAGTGTTTAAAATATATAGTAAATTCTGCCTGACATCAGCAAATTAGGATCGCTCCAGTGGTTTACAAAATTCTCATCAATGTTCCCAATGGAAGTCGTCTACACTATTAGTAATATCTGACCTGCACATTTAATCATAGAAATCTGCCTGAAACTCATTACGGAACATTGGTTTTATAGCCAGATGACTTATTCATTTCATTGTTCTTCCCAAACACCGCAAATTTATTTTCAAAGGCCTCAGACTAACAGAGTATGTCCACAACAACACCACTGAATAGTTTGATTAAGCTACTACATGTAGCTTTTCCCGTATAGTATTTATTCCCTCATTTGCATCTATTGGGACGTGTTTTGTGCTTACTCTGGTGTGTGTGCAGGGCATCCTAAATATTCATGCTTATGATTAATTACCTTCAAATGTCTTTGATTGTAAAATTCTTAAGTTAATATTACATCTAGATTGTAGATACATGTATATTGTTTATCACATTTATTTCCTGTTACATGTAATACATTATAAAACTTAGTAACATTTATCTTTAGCCTCGAACAAAGATTTCATTAGGCATTTTTATTCTATATATATTTTTTAAAAAATAGGCTTGATATAATATATTTAACGAATTTTTTAGAATTATAATAATGATTAACCCTTAAATTGTTGAAGTGTAGATTTTATAATTAGTCAAAATTTGTCAATTGTAGAGATCTACTTGTGACATTCTCGGAGAAGATTATTCTTTTAAACAACAATGATGCTATTTCTAAAAGTACTTAAAGTTCTCTTGGATGTTTGCAATAATAGTACATGTACTTATGTATTGGAATATTTGAAACGTTATAAAATATTTTTAGCCTAAGCCTCTTCCTGACATAATGGCCTGAGTCATTTTCCTCCTCTTTGCGTGTTCCGTTCATGATCAATGGCCGAATGTTCAATCTATATGCCCGTTGCTCTGTAGACAAAAGAAAAAAAATATTTTGAAAAATGTTAATTTCCATAAGAAAAGTATAAAGAATATATTTTGGCTTTTCGTGTTTGCTGTGTAACGAGGAGGCAATGAAATTGTTTTATCCGGACATCATAGCTTTGAAAGATATTGGAATGATGAGAAAACATTCCAAATGAGAAAATTTTTTTAAACAATTAAAACCAATTGGACCTAAAGTTTACATCATATAAGTCTATACAACATCCGTTTTAGAAAGTTTTACTTTACCATTAAACAGAAAAAAAAATTATTATATAAGATTTAATTAATGAAACATAATTTTAAAAATAAATAAAGTGACACAGTATTCATATTGCTTCATACGCAAAAACTTCAAATGTCCCCGTTTCCATTTTCGGTAAAACATGTTGTTCCGGCTTGCAGAAAAGTGGCTTATTATTATCATCAAAGGTCAGATATACAAGGTACATTAACATGTAAGTTTATTTCATTTTTATAAGATTATTGCTTTGACATTCATAAAAACAATTCTAAAAGCATTTAAGTACTTTAAAATAAACTTGGATTCTATATTGCTTATTAAATCATATGCAATTAAAGCCTCATGATCAAATTTAATACCGAAGACATTTATTGAGGAACTATATTTTGTGTTGGAATGCTTCTTAGAAGAAAAAGTTCAGTTTTTCTCTTTCTGAAGTATTCAGCATTGTTAAGTTTGGATTCCAAATTTTACATGCAACCTACACACAGGGTAAGTTAATTTTGTGCATGTTCTATGTTCGTCTTGTACGTGTCATATTTTAAATCAACTGTCACGAATTCCATTATCATATTTGACAAATATATCAAAATAATATATCGTTAAAGTCCATGGAAAAAATACTCCAATTCAAACTTAAAATGAACACTCTTTTAGTTATATAAAAAAACCAACATCACAGACCCCCACTTACTTCATTTTCTAAATATTTAAAATAATTTCAACCACTCTGCTTTAATTCAGGAAATTTTCCTTACTTTCAAATGATTTTATTGCTTTTAAAATTTTTAATTCAAGAAAAATAACTATTTTTGAATGCAGAAAGGGCAAATAATTGACTATGCGAAGTTTTTTGAAACTGTTTCTGTTATCACAAATTCTAATGTGACTATTCCAAATGAAAAAAAAACAGACTGTATTTTTCCGATAATTCATTTGGTAAAAAGATCTATTACAGGAAAAACCTTAAAAAATTGATTTATAAGTTAGAGGTATTGTAAAAAGGTTATATTAATTGCTCCATTGTGCTAAAAAGTGCAATTACCCCCAGTTTTCGTTTTGATATTTTATTAAGTTATGTGTGTAGATTCTAAAAATATACTTGACAATAAATTTTTAATACTTTTGATTACAGGTGCCAACTTCCTTCAACAAGTAAAACTTTACGCCAGTATTCACAGAAATAAAATAATTTAAGTGCTGCATAAAACTGAAAGAAACAAAAAATTTGTAAAGCATGCAGACATACGAGAGAAGTTCCGATTATCTGTACCCGCTGGTTTGTTTGAACTTTTGGTGATATATTTAAGTCCTGAATTTGAGGTTGCACTGGATTTACCTACACTGACAAGCAACAAAGAGAAAGACAGTATAAACATCTATAAATATAAACATCCTTCCTCAATCCGGAAAAGGGTTAATATTTGAACAATCGAAAATAAATAAAAGCTAGTATTTTGCAGTGATAGTCTGTTAACTATAACTTTTGCATTTTGATATAACTTTACCATAATGAACTGGAAAATCGTATAAAATGTTGAAGTTTTAAACATGGTAGCTTTTTATTGGGTCTTTTTTTTCTGTCCACCAACTATAATTCGCTATATCCTAGTTTGGAATAAATCAGCAGATACAAAGATTCGTTCCTGAGGCAAAATTCACCATACATATGTATGTGAGAGATTGGTTCTAGAAATATTCAAGAATCCCAGAAACATTGCTGATATATCTCGCTCGCAAATTAAAAAAAATGGTTTGGAGTAATTTTTTTTTTTTTTACAAATTGGTAAATTGATAAAAAAAAATTCAATAGTCTCTTTCTTCTAGAGATATTGACCGTTCACGGTAGCTCAGTTGGTAGAGCGCTCGCTCCGTGATCGGGAGGTCGTGAGTTACAATATCGGCCGCGATTGACCTAAGTCGTTAAAAATGTGTAGCAAATGTTCCTTCGCCATGCGCTCATGATGATATCTAAAAATCTTAGCCCAGTGTCAGCTCAATGGCCCCGAGTGCAGTAAAATGGCTATTTTAAGAATGGCAGCAGGTGATAGAGCTTGGATTGATATATTTCATGGAACAGCATCTGTTTACTACTTACAATTTTCTTTTTCAGGCTTCATATCATGAGTGTAAAAGATCATGAGCTAAACAAATAAAAAGCTGTTATCGTTTTATGGCAATCTAATTGTATAATTACAAGATAAAGACTGCAGGGAATTTTGCAACTATTTTGTTGAGGCAATTTATTCTTTAAAAGATCTCAAGCTTACGAAGAAAACACAAGAAAGTGTCAGAGCCTTTCAATCTTACTTCATACAAATAATATGTTGCAGTTTTTTACAACAGTATGGTTTAGTTTGTTAGTTTTTTGTTTTACGTCCCACTCAAAATGTTTTCAGTCACATGGTGGAGGGTTCAAAATTAAAGAAAAAAGGGTCAAACTAATATTTTCTTAAATATCCCTCACACTACAAACTCAATCAAATGTACTCGACAAGTTTTTTTTCGTCCTGGTTTAATGTTGCAAATGTTAAAAAAATAAACATGAAAAAAATGTGCTCAGCATGAAAATTAGCGATACATGTGTTATACCTCACAAATAGCAATTTTACACATGTGAACAAAAGGCCCATGGGCTACATCGCTCACATGAGCACATGAACTAGTTAAGAAACACAAATCAGCTCATTATTGAAAATTTTATTTGTTTGGGGAGGGGGGGCTATTACGTGAGAATGTCACTATATCAATAAAGCATACATGTAAAATTTTGCCATATTTGAGAAAAAGTTTTTAAAAAATTTCATATACATTCCTATGTAAAGATTTGACTATTATGACCCCACCTTACCCCAAGGGGTCATAATTGGAACAAACTTGAATTAACCCTTATTGAGGATGTTTCCGACAATCATAGCTTTGCTGATCTTAAGAGGATTTTTTAGAGATTTTTCGTATGAATTTCTATGTAAAACCGTCATCAGCCATTGTGGCCCCGCCCTACCCCTGGGGGTCATGATTTGAACAAACCTGAATCTACGCTACCTCAGGATGCCTCCACATGAGTTTCATCTTTTCTGGTAAAATTGATCTGGATAAGAAGATTTTTAGAGATTTTTCCTATATATTCCTATGTAAACTTTGGTCTGCCATTGCCCCCCCCCCCTACACCCAGGGGCATGATTTGAACAAACTTGAATTTACACTACCTAAGGACGATTCCACATAAGTTTCATTTATCATGGCTCAATGGTTCTGGAGAAGATTTTTACAAGATGTCATTAATTTTTCATTAATTCATAATCATCTCCCCTTGGAAGAAGTTTGGACCTTTATTTGAACAGTCTTGAATCCCATTTACCCATGGATACTTTGTGGTATGATTTGTTGAAATTGACCCAGTGGTTCTTAAAAAGGAGATGAAAATGTGAAAAGTTTACGACGACAACGACAACAACGGACAAATTCTGATCAGAAAAGTTCACTTGAGCCTTCGGCTACAAAGAAATAGTATGTAAACAATCCAAAGCGCAATCTATATCATTTTCCCTATGAAGTTTTTTTCACAATTTAAATTATTGATGTTTATTCTAATGAATACGGATAAAGGTGAAAAAAATATAACTATGAAGACACAATTTAATTTAGTCGAGTGAAAGAGGGGTTCACAAATAACAAACTTTGTTTTATTTTTTTAGGACATCGAATAGTTTCTTTGTCAAGATAGGGAAGAGGGTGATATCCTCAAGTCTATTCTGTATTGTTATTCTGTTTTGAATAAATTTTCTTGAGAATAAAGGATACCACACTGTACAGATCTGGTACTATAATCATTGCTATAAAGCACCCCAATACTCCAACAACAACACCAGCGATAGAAGACGAGCTCGTCCGAAAGTCCGAGGCACTAGTAAGTTTTCTAATTTTAGAAGATAGAGTCTTCGAATTCAGAGTTAATTCATCCTTTCTTTGTTTTAAAGACTCCTCTAACGACTGATTGATTTCCTTGCAGATACATGTGCACGCAATAGAGCCATTGGTTATAATAATTTGACCACTCATTGTTTGGTTTATATCTTGTTTTGTAGTTTGTTGACTTTGTGATGTCCCGGTTTGTTCTTGAATGACTGTGGGTATTTCTGTAAGGTCTGTTGTTTCTTCGGTTTGCTGCTCAGTGCTCTGTATTGTTTGTGAGTATGTCGTATAATCCTTTGTAGTAAATTGTCCCACAGTTGTCAAATCTTTTGTAGTAAATTGTCCCAAAGTTGTCATATCCTTTGCAGTTAAATGTCCAACAGTTGTCAAATCCTTTGTAGTAAATTGTCCCACAGTTGTCAAATCCTTTGTAGTAAATTGTCCCACAGTTGTCAGATCCTTTGTAGTAAATTGTCCCACAGTTGTCAGATCCTTTGTAGTAAATTGTCCCACAGTTGTCAGATCCTTTGCTGATTCTGTTCAAAATAAAAATGTATAACTATAACTTAAACTCAAAAGGCACAAATTTGACCTTGATAGTGTTCAATGATCTTTGTCAGAAGTAAGAGCAAAGCTTCTAAGAATTACCCCTTTTCCCAACAGTCTAGCATCTTACCAGCACACAATTATGCATACATATATGTATCATTTCTCCACTATCATGCATTTTCCATGCACTTTCAAAAGTATATGCATATAATATTAAATTCAATGCCAGTCTCCTTCTTTTTCACACTTGCTTAAAATTCATAAAATTAATTATGATCTTATTAAAATATTACGTCATGATTATAAACGCTAAACTTCAGAGAGACCGCGATATAAAGTGCTTGCAGGGAGAAGGTAATATAATATTTCTATGATGTGATCATTAAGTATATGTTGAGTCATATTCAGTTAGTTGTGAAGAGTTAAAATTAGTTTAACAAAGTATCAAAATTGACTTTGTCCAAAGAATCGTGAAACAAGATTGATTCTCCAATCTCATCAATCTAACTTTCGAGGCACAAGAGGTGCAGTTTCAAGTTACGATGCTTACCGTTAATTTTATTAGCACAAAAATACAATTAAACTGACATATAAACCAAACTCTTCACCCTGAGGTCTAGGTTATAATCTCAGGGCCATAGCAATAGTACATAACATGTCAAGAATCAACCCCAAATTGTTCCAGATGTATAGTAAAATCAGTACCTGTTGTACACGTCTTCTTGAAAAATGAGATTGATTCGTCTGAAGGGTACCACACGGGATCACCAGCGTCAGAGAGAGTACAGTCTAATGTATCCAACTTGAATGAAAATCCAAAACAATATGTATCGTTCTCACACAGCAGCTTGCATTCCTCTAATGGTATGTCATTAATTATTTGGTCCTTTATGGATGACACCCTATATCCGAGATCATACTGCATAAACATCACTGATCCACATCCTTCAAAAATTAAAATCGTACAATTAATTTCTGATCATTTTTGTAATATGTTTAAAATTGTAAAGGCTACATAATTCAAAGCTACACCCGGACATACTTCCTTACATTTTTTTTTGATAATTGTTGAACATCCCATATTTCATTCATATGGATACGCCACCGTATGCTGTTTATGGGTATCAGACCTCTACACGACATTTCGGGCGATTTAGAATTAAATGTTCTTTAATTAAGAATGATATATCTTACCTGGCAAACATTCTCTTCTGTAAAAGGTGCAGAGTGTACACGGGTAAGACTGAAATATTATGGTTTTAGATATTTGACATTGAGAGATGTCTGACTGAAAATGGAATGACATACATCCAGAATCATTTGCACATTGTTGTTGACATGCTGTAAGATCTGTTGTAGAATAGGTAGCATATACTTTGAACATCGGCACTTTCATTTGATGTCCCAGGAGAGTAAATGTCGATGAACATTGCATAAAATAGGCAGTAACTAATTCTGAAAGAAACATGTTTCACTTAGTATATGTGAACGTTTTAAATAACTCATATATCTTCTTTTTTCAGATATTTTTAAATCTATATTATATTGTATTGTTTAAGCAGTTCCTAAAAATGTGACTGTAGGTTTATGATAACAGGAAGTTAGGTCACAAATTGAATATCAATGGGTACAAAAACAATATTGAAATTAATTAAGAACCGTTACGGTATTCAAGTACTAGCAAATAAATGAAAACACATATCAATATTTCAAAGGCTTTAAGTCCTACAAAGCTCACCCGAACACTTCTTTGCAGAAAATGAACAATGAGGACAATAAGTAAATCTTGGTAGCGTACTCTCTGACAATGTACATGTCCTAGTGAATCCGTCATAAGCAAATCCATGGCAGATGTCTTCACTGTCGCAGTAT